AAGACCCCCTTGTCCTTCATATAGCGGATGGCGGCGATAAAGCCCAGATTTTGTTCATCCTGCTGCAACCAAAAATTTTCCAGTGAGTCGAGCAACAAACATTTATGGGGTGTTGTGACACAAAAATTTGTCCAGTAGTAAACAACTTGCTTATGGTTGAGAGGCCATGATGAGTAACTCGTTGCCATATCTAGCATTATGTAAGTAATAATTTTTGTAATCAAAGGGCAACACACAAAGGCGCAAGAAATTAATGAAAAGATGAAGCTTAGAAAAGCATCCCGTCGGTCTCCAGCCTCACAACCGATTTGTGACACTAAGTTTATTGCAGTCATCAGCCAATTGTTCAGCGTGTTGGTCATCTAAAAGTGTTACGAATTGTATCTGTCGCAGCTGTGACCCTTGGGAGCACTCATGACATCACATGAGAACACACTACTACACAGGTCACAAATAATTTTTTAACAATATTTGATTGAAACGCTTATTCCACGTTTTGGCTTCACACCCATGTTGTAGCTTTGAGACATGGTGTTAGCGCCCATTCTCGATTCTTGCTTTTTGTTGACTTGATGTTTAAACTTAAAAAGAAAAGCTAATTTTGCTCTAATGTCTTTCTCGTTCTAAAGTTGCCTCTTCTTGGCGGAGCTCCATAATCTTCATGTACTAATTCTTCCGTACTTTTTTTTCTCGACAAATTTTGCAAAAGTGCAACATGAATTCGAAGAATTGCACGGTCATGATTGAACATATCCATGAAGGATTTCAGTGCTTTACCATGATTTGCTTTGTCTTGATCGCGATCGATACGTCACATTTGCTGTAACGGGGTTGAATACACAGGGGTCGGTCGCACAAGATTGTGTGACCGTACAAAGTGTGGATTACACAACACGATGTAATCACACAATGATGTGGCTACACCGTAACAGGAAGCCACTACGTGGCAGGACGGCCAGTAGTAATGCAAATCATTTAGGCTTTACTACTTATTCAGGAAAACCTAAGTTTAAGATATAGGCGGCTCTGTCGCAAAGAAAAAACAGTTTCAATTTTGAACGATAGAGCCTATTTGCCTTGGTTAAGGTTCTTAAGTACTCTTGGAGGTAGCGGGTTGCGATCCATTACACTCGTACTGGTTCTGGTGTAGAACGTAAGGTCGGTGACCTTAGTATACTTCCTCAAAGCAATGAGCTACGGCAACCCCGCTGCATTTAGTAGCACTTGTAGTCTACGCCTGAGTCGTTACGACTGTTTCACTGTGAGGATGAAGCAATTCTTTTATTTGCCCTAGAGCATGCACGAAGGGCTTAATAAGATGATGTTCCTGCTTAGCCCTGAAAGCGTGGAACACCTTAATAAGATGA